GGCTGGGCGCCCGCAGTGCCCCTCCCCGCGGCCAGGGGGCGCTGCCGCGGGCGGGCGGCCCGGAAGGGCGCTCCCGCTGGGGCCGGGGCCGGCGGGAGCGGCGCGATGCGCGGGCAGCGCCGGGAGCAGCACCGGGAGCGGCTCCGGGAGCGGCTCCGGGAGCAGCTCCGGGAGCAGCACCGGGAGCCGCTCCGGGAGCGGGGCCCGGCGCTGCCCGCCGCCGTCGGGGCGCTGTGCCGGGCCCTGCCGCCCCGCGCCCGGCCCGCCCCCGACACCCTGCGCCGCGCCAGGTTCGACCGACCGCAGGCGGTGAGCGCCGGCCGCTCCGCCCGGAGAGCCTGCGGGGCACGGGCACAGGGCGGCGGGGACCTGCGGGACTCCCGAGTCCGGCTGGGCCCGGGGACAGGCCCTGGATGGCGGCGCGACGGGCACCGAGCCTTGGGCAGGCCTGCGAGCTGGGCTGCGGTGTGGTCCCGGCTCGGTGTGGTCCCGGCTCGGTGTGCGCCCACCTGACACGTGTTAGGGAACTCCCAGCAGATTCTCCGCTCTGGGAAGGGCTGTGCCTTACTGTGGTTGTAACTCGAGGCTTAGTGTTTCACTCTAGTCTGCGACACCTTCTCGGTGTCCCCTGCTGCCCTTTGCTGTACCCGGTTTGGGTCTTGCTGCTTTGCCTCCGAAGCTTCCAGCTCGCACACTGGATACCTCCCTTCCTGGGCTATTTTAAGGATTTTACGAGTGTTGACTGAAATTCCAGCCATAAGAATCACTATTTGAGTTTGTCAGCATGGTGTCCTTGTGCAGCCAAGAAATGATTCCCAGTCCCAGCTCATTCTGTTGTGCCTCTTTGTGAGTTTCTGACACTGTCGTGTCAGATCTTACTGGTGTGTTCAGGCACTTGTTTGACTACGGGTGAGCTGTGCCATATGTGGTTGTATCAGAGCAGATTTTGGAATGCTCCTCCACACATGGGTCTCACAGTAGAAGTGTTGGGTGTTGCTGTAGAGCCAGCATTAACCCTTTTCTTTCTGGGCGCTCTTTTCTGTAGATTCTGTGTTCATCAGATAGGAACATGAACAAGAGCATACATGAACCTGCCTGATCAGATGTGTTGGCTGGATCAGCAGGTGTGCTGTTCCGTGTGTGATGTTCAGATATGGGCTTAATTGCCTAATTGAGACTAAATAACATGGCAGATATTTTTCCTGCTGATCTCCCCTTCCACCCCTCTCTTTTGCAGAGCCTGGACTTCTGGAAGCTGCTGTACGTGCTTCTGAAGCAGATCCATGGGGGCAGGTGGACAGAGTCTGATGCCATAGGTAACATCATTGTGGTTGACTGCAGTTTCCATCTGTCCTGGGACTGGTTTTGTAGCACCTTTGGCTCCTTTCTCCCTGTAGTGAGTGCTCTGTTTTGAGCACCCGTGCCACCAACGTACTGGGTGTCAGGTTTAGTGATGAGTAAATGTGCTGTGAGGCAGGTTTGCTACTCTTTGATGTGCTTTGTCCTGGAAACTGGGATGTTTCCACAGGCTCTTGCATCCCTGTGACGTTTTATTGCAGGTAAATCTCTGCAATGAAGTTATACATTCGCAGTATCTGCAAAGACAGAAGCAGATTTGGTTTTCCTTTGGTTCCTTCTTTTCCCATTCCCGCTCATACCATGATTCTGTTGGTACTTTTCTATCCAGCCCTGTGTCAGAGACAGGAATTGCAACGTGAGGGCCACAAAGGCAGTGTTTTAGATTGAAGTTCTAGACAAAACAAGAAATGGACTGTGTGTGATTATTTTAGGGGTACTGCAAATAATATCTTTATGGACAGGGCCACTGCTTCAGAGAGGAGCTGAATACAGACTGACTTCCCAAAATAGCAGAAGACTATTCTTAAATGTATGTTGTTCCAAGTAAAACACTACTCCCCATCTTCTCTCTTGAAACATGCCTATCTAGGGCCTTTTCACTGTATGAGAATTGTATTGTGATGAATCAAGGTCTCTTCATACCAAATCCACTTAATATTCACTTTTGCCCTTGAAAGCAAAACACCCTAAACAGCACTGCATAAGCCCCTGATTAGCTGTGAGCCTGGTAGCTCTGTAAATGGAATTAAGAAAGGTTAAGCATTGTGGAATGCAGAGCAAAACCACCAGCATAGTTCAGCTGGTAGCTCAGCAGGAAGTTCTGTTGCTTGCAGGACTGCTATTTTTTATTTGGCTGTTTTTATTTTTCCATTCATCCACAATCTGCTGTGTATGGCAAGTCTGTTTATTGACTGTCTCCCACAGCATTGTGGATGTGGTCGTGCACATGTGCAACCTTATTGGATCCTGGCTGCTGCCATACTAATTGCCTGTAGCATTTGGGGATAGAATTTCCAAATGCAAGTGGCAGCTTCTGGCTCTGGAGACAGCAAACACAGCCTCCACTGGTATTATTGTGAGGTAGCAGTGTGTGATTCTGCTGAGAACTGCTCGGCTGATTTTTGAGAAACCTTTTTAGTCACAACTTGGTGATTAAAGCTGAAATTCAGGCTGGAGTGCTGGACTGTTTTTCAAATGACACTAATTACTTTTGCTTGGCAAGTGAATGAGTAGTCTGCTCTGAACACAATCGATATTTTACTGCTTTTCTTCTCTGCCCTAGCTCTGGTCTCTTGTGTATTTAATGCAAATGAAATAAGCCTTGGGCATAGGCACTGAATAACTTTCTCAGGTTTGTGTAGGATCCTGTTACACAATAGAGAATTGAAACAGATTCCTCTAATCCAAGTCTAGTGCCTTAGTCCACAGATCAAGCTTTGCTTTTCTCTGGTCTTTTTGTACAACCTTGGTTAAAAGGTTAATTACCTTGGTTAAAACAAGGAGAGCAGCAGTTGCCAGATCCCAGAGGAAGGCTGTGAAGACTCCTTTGGTGTAGCAGTTACTGTGAGCATAGAAACACTTTCTGGAAAAGAGAAGCCATTCTCCAGTGATCTTGCATCCTTTATTTTTCAAAAGGAAACAATGATCTTTGGCCACTTCAGGAATCCCACTGAAGCCTGCCAGTCAGTGGTTATAAAATCCTGCAACTGGCTCCTGGTTTCTTGTTCTGTGAGAACTTTTTCTTCTCACAGTGAAAAGCACTTAACTGTAAACCTTACTTAAGCTGTAAACTTACTGTAAAATCCATTGCCTTAAACATGTCACAGCAGTGGGTCACTGGACAGTGGAGAGTCAGTGTGAATACTCTGGGCATGACCTTGCTGATGAAATTGTGATTAGTGGTTTCATGCTGCTTGTTCTTCACAGAGACTGATGAACTTGATTAACAACCTGACAGCCAGACCAGGTAGCAGTGCAATATGCATTTGGACAGTTGGAGAACACATTTATTTTCTGGGATTGCTGTTCAGTTTTTATAGCATGGGAAAAATGTGTGGAGCTGCAATAGATTTTTGTTTGACAAATGTAGCAGAAAATGTTTTTCTGAAGTGGTAGTTTCCCATAATCCCACTCCCTGTGCAGGTGTTCCTTGTCAGAGTGCACGAAGTAATGTATCTGTGTCTGTGCTTGTACTGGGTTTGTAGTTCCTTTCCCTTTTAGCCTGGCAGGCTAGTGCATAGCTCTTATTTGAATATCATCTTGTCAATCACTGAAAATATTTATTGGGACACACAGTAGAAGAGCACAGCTAGAGTATAGTTTTAAGTGAGCTGAGCCCTGAGGTTCATCCCCAGCTTGGTCTTACTTGGCGAGTATACTTTTATAAATATAAAAGTATACTTTATATCTGTGGCTAAGGGGATTAGTTGGAAGCCTTGTGAAGGTCTTTCTGTATAAATTTCCTAATCCTAATGGCATAAGAAGAAGTCAGACAGGTGTCTGGTGTTATCTTCTCTCTGAGTGATATTTTTTCCTCACTCTTGGTCGCATGTTATGGAAGAATCCATCTTGGTCCTGGGTACGCACATAACCTTTATTGCCATTTTTACTTTTGCCTTCTAACTTGAGCACTCTAGAGATGGGGAAAACTAAGGGACTTCTCTAAGGTCACAGGAAGGCTCCTTGAGCCCCAGTTCCAGATCCATGCCTTGACTGCTTACTCCCAATTCCTGCCTGGTACAACAACTGTACCCTCTCCTGTGAGGGTAGCATGTTGCAGAGGGAGACATGAAAGAGGGGGAGATAAAGAACCAGAACAACTCTGAAATTCAGGTGCTGAATTGCCTTGCTGGATCTGGCCTGAGTGATGTCTTAGAGTAGAGAAATGGTGGTAAAAGAAAATAAAAAAACACCTGACCTGCTCTGCTTTCCTCCATTTTTAAGGAGCTCCTTGAACTGCAGATGGCAGCATGTGATGCTTATTTGCTTTGAAAAAGGAGGAAAGCATGTACTGTCCATCCTTCCTTTTGGAGGATTTCTGCTTTTATCTGTTATGGCAGTTCCTTTCTTAACAAATGCACACAGAAAAGGAAAGGATGACATGAAAACCCTGCTCACGTAAGAATATTCACGCGTTATCAAAATAAAATATGCAATAGCTCCATACTCCTCTTGTGCCTGAGGAATTGGAGTGCTCATCTACAGGAAGATTTTTAGGAGGCCATAGGCATTTCTGCCACCCTGACATGGGGAAGGGAAGCTGCTTGTTTTATTCACAGGATCTGTGGAAAGAGCAAATGGAGTGATTTAGGTATTTTGCTTTGTAGGAATGCCTGAACTGCATGGAACTGTAGATTTCTCTAGCTCTACCCAGCTGTGACAGCTGTCAAAAGGAAAGAAAAGAGCAAATCTAGAAGGATGGTTTCATGGCATGGGGGGATATTCCTTCAGCCTCCAGCAGTTTACATCTCAGATTTTTCAATACAGAGAGGATATGTTTGTGTTTCATAAGTTTCCATGAACTGTTGTTTTGTAAATCCAGTTTCTCCTTGAGCCTGAGTGACTCTTAGGAGTCCATAGAGTCCCACCCACAGTGAGCAATTTCAGAATTTTGCTGCGTGTGTGAAAAGCATTTCTTTTATGTTTTGACTCACATGCTTGCTAACTTTGTTGGCTCACAGTTCTTGTGTTGAGTGTTGTGCAAACAAATCATCCACTCTTCACCCATTGCACGGCACTCAGGATTTTGAAGAGTTTTGTCATATCCATTCTTGCTCTTCTTCTTGGCCTACTTCATGGCTTCTTACGATGCAGCTGCTCTGTACTTGTGATTGTACTTGTCCTTTCTGTTCACTTCTTTCCAAATCTTCTGTAGCCTTAATGGGAGAGAAGAAATAAGGGTCACGGTGGGTATTTGTGTTCTGTTCAGTGTCCTTGGTAGGTTTCTCACACTGAGTTTGCCTTTGGATGCCTGTCAGAACCAATTGTGATACTGTCATTAAAAACTTCATAGTCTGAGATTGTGTTCCTGAGCCCACGGTGCAGTTCCATGTCCAGTCTTATGTTGTAAGTCAGTAAAGTTAGGAACATTTCTTTCTTTGTGCACATAATTTTTCATTTTTTTCTAAAAATACTTTTATCTGTCTTTTTAAAGCTTGGTCTCAAGGTTCTGAAGTCCTTCATGATCTGCCTGCATTCTTTACTACTAATATCACATCAGCATCAAGTTTTCTGTCACTGTCACGTTGTCTAAGTGTCATTTTGAGTTGTTTGAACAGCAGTTGTTTAGCACAGAGCGCTCACGTGAAACCACTATTTGTTCTGCCCTCTGGTTTTTGTCTGCTGGGTACTTGTCATTGATCCAAGGCTTTTCCTCTCCCTCCACTGCAGTGCCTTGGTTTCTTTGTGCAAGCTGAATCCCAGTGGGAAGTCTAAATGTCTTGCACTCGTTGAATCTTCCTTAATCACTTGCTTTTTGTTGCCCTTGGAGAGCTCCAGAAACTTTCTGAGCAGGTCTTCCTTTTACACCTGTTGATTCCTAGCCAGTAGGTGTTGTTTTCGTTGTCCCCCTAATTATGGTCTTTATTCTGTTTTTGACTTAGTACAGAGCCAAGGTTTATTGGGCAGAAGCTTTTTTAATAATAACTTCCTCTGTGTTTCTCCAGTATTTTACAGTCCTGCAGTGCCTGTCTTGTAGCTGTCAGGTACCATTTGCTGGTGTGAAAGAATATGGATCAGAGCATTCCTGAGAATTTAATAGCCCATGTGCTGTGCTGCATTATCTCTGCTCTCTGGCACCCAGAGATTTGCAGCAGGCTGTGAAACTCGTATCTCTAAATTCCAGTTTCGTTCAAGAGTGGAGTGGTTCAAAGTGCTTGCTAATTCATAGCGTGCTTGGTGACTCATAAAAAATGAATAGGTTAATTGGAGTCCCATTGTAGTGGGGGTGGCTAGTGGCCTTTGTTGCCTTTTTTAATTTCCAAGAGGCCATTACTGGTCTTGATCCCAACTTTGAATTTCTTCTTTTCCCTGAGGAGTAGTTCCTGTAATCAGAATGGGGCTGTATAAAGAAGGCTTTTATCCTTTCCCTCCTGTCCTTCACCAGTTGTTGATTGTTGCATATAGATAAAACCTTATAACAGAAAGGCCTTATGAAATGTGGTTTAAACCTTATTATTCTGGCTAAATTAACCTCTTAAGTTTCCATGAGAAAAAAAAAATTATAAAAATAAAAATCAGTTTACATAGCTGTCTATTCTTATGAGAAAGAGTTTGCACCTACAAAAATAAGAAGTCTATCCTGTGAGAATCCATGAAGAAAAAATATAAACTATCTGGAAAGAAAAAAAATTGATCAACATGTTCATTAGCCATTACCAACCAATCAACTGAGTTTCAATAATTTGCTAACCTATTAAATTCAAACATGGTACCTTCTAATACCATATAAAAGTTAGCTATGTACAATACAGATTCAGCTATTCTACACAAGAAAACCAAGCATCTCCTCCATCTCATTTCTATATCTAATGCAAGGCTGCAGCGACAGTTGATAAAGACGAAGTCCCCACTGTCTTCCTGAGGCTGGGTTAGAAATGCTGCCCTGGAAGGAGGCCGCAGCGGTGGAGCTGCGTGGGTGACTGCACTGCTGCAGTGTTACTCTCAGCGGTTACTCTGAGCTGTTACTCTCAGTGGTTACTCTCAGCAGTTATTCTCAGTGCTTACTCTCCGTTGTTACTCTCAGCAGTTACTCGGGGGTTACTCTCAGCAGTTGCTCTCAGCGGTTACTCTCAGCAGTTACTCTCAGATGTTACTCAGCTGTTACTCTCAGATGTTACTCAGATGTTACTCAGCAGTTACTCTCAGCAGTTACCCTCAGGTGTTACTCAGCTGTTACTCAGCAGTTACTCTCAGTTTTTACTGATCTGTTACTCAGCAGTTGCTCTCAGCAGTTACTCTCAGCTGTTACTCAGCAGTTACTCTGGTGTTACTCAGCGGTTACTCAGCAGTTACTCTCAGCAGTTACTCTCAGCGGTTACTCAGCAGTTACTCTCAGCAGTTACTCTCAGCTGTTACTCAGCTGTTACTCAGCAGTTACTTTCAGCGGTTACTCAGCCATTACTCTCAGCGGTTACTCAGCAGTCACACAGCAGTTACTCTCCGGTGTTACTCAGCGGTTACTCAGCTGTTACTCAGCAGTTACTCTCAGCGGTTACTCAGCTGTTACTCAGCAGTTACTCTCAGTTGTTACTCAGCAGTTACTATCAGCGGTTACTCTCAGCAGTTACTCTCAGCAGTTACTCTCAGCAGTTACTCACCTGTTACTCAGCAGTTACTCTCAGTTGTTACTCAGCAGTTACTATCAGCAGTTACTCTCAGTGTTTACTCATCTGTTACTCAGCTGTTACTCAGCAGTTACTCTCAGCTGTTACTCAGCTGTTACTCAGCAGTTACTCTCAGTTGTTACTCAGCAGTTACTATCACCAGTTACTCTCAGCGGTTTCTCAGCTGTTACTCAGTGGTTACTCTCAGTTGTTACTCAGCAGTTACTCTCAGCAGTTACTCTCAGCAGTTACTCTCAGCGGTTACTCAGCTGTTACTCAGCAGTTACTCTCAGCTGTTACTCAGCGGTTACTCAGCGGTTACTCAGCGGTTACTCAGCTGTTCGCTCTTGCAGGTGCCCAGGTGAGCTTTGTGAAGTGGGCGCTGTGGTACCACGGCTACGGGCGGCCCCAGCTGCAGCGGCTGCCGGCCGACGGCTCTGCGGGCAGCCGGGAGCTGCTGCTGGCGTTCTCCTGGCTGCTGCACAGCCCCGGCCTCCTGGAGCGGCTGCTGGCTCGGAACAGGGCGCAGCCTGGCGATCAGACCTCCGTGTGCACGGTGAGCATGCTTGTGTCCTTCCACCCCTCCCTGTCCACGCACCATCAGTGTGTGGTGGCTGCTGTCCTGGTGCCTTGGCAGGTAAGTGACTTCAAAAAAAGGCCGGTGTTGATTTCCTTTCCGTTCTCTAAGCTTTCGTGTGCAAAGCTTAGGGGTTCTTTCTCTTCATCAAACTCCCACCCCTGCTTAAATTCCCTGATTTCTATTTCAAGTACAACTGAGACCACTGTGGAGGCAAGTGAATCTCTTCAGTCTCTCTGCTTCTGGGTTTTGGGCTCCCAGACTGAACTGAGTGGTTCTGCAGGGCAGGCAAACAGGTTAGCAATGAATGCTGGGTGTGTTGGCACTGTTGGGTAGAGCGGGTAAGGGTAAGGCAAATAATACTTTTTGCAAACAACAAGGTCTCAAATGGCAGCTCCTGCTCTTGAGGTAACTAATGACCTTTGAGTACACGCTGGAATATGTTGTTTTTTCCGTTACCAAAAGCTGTTAGTACATAGAAAGTCTGTTCTGAAGTAACCAACATCTAGTCAGACTCTAATTACTGCTCGGTCTGCTTCAAAATGACAGGCTCACAGGATTTTGTAATTTTTTGGCAAAGGACCTTGTAGGTCGGAACCCCTAACTGGTGATAATCTCGTGGTGTCTAAGGCCTGTAGGCTTTATTGAACCCATATATGTTTTTTCCCTGGTTTTCTGGAGCCTTTTCAGGAGGCAGCAAAGCAGGAAAGCGAAAGTTTGGAAAGCTGCAATATAAAAACAGTGTCTTCAGAAGGAAAACACTTGTACAAATGGAAAACAAGGGAAAGAATCCTCTTTGTAACAACGTTACAAGAAGTATTTTGAGGAAAGGGACCACACTTGCTGCACTACAATTATTTGCTGCACAGAAGAGGGAGCATAAGAGGCTGAGCTGTGAGTGGCAGTGCCATCTACTTATGTCAAAAGTGTCTTGAGATTTCAGAAAAAACACACTGCTGGAGAACTTTTTACTTTAAATTTCTCTTTTACTTTTTTCTGTTTTTTCATTTGCAGTAGCAGGGTTTTTTTTTTTTTTTTTTTTTTTTTTTTTATTTTTTTTTTTTTTTTTTTTTTTTTTTTTTTTTTTTTTGTTTTTTTAACTTTTTTTTTGGTTAAAATTTTTCTCAATTTCTGCTACAAAAGAGTGACAAGTGAAATGTGACGTGAATTCAGGGAATGGGGCAGCACCTGTGTTTTCTCTGAAGGCTTTAAGCTTTGCATTTCCCAAAAAGGGATGAAAGAACTATGATAATACAATGTTATCTCTTGTGGGCACACATACTGGTGTGTCCTTCACTGCAGTTCTCACCTGCTGTACTTGTGTTTCTCAAAAAGCTTAGAATGCATATTAAATGTTTTTACTTCATAACTGTCCAAAACAGTGTTTGGAAAGGCTTAAGAGTCTGATTTTTTTTTTTAATGACCAGACAAAAATTGTATAGAAGTTGGAATTGGAGTTAGCTTGTGTATGTAAAGCTCATTGTATTAATGGAAACAATTCTTGTATGGTGTTCATCCAGCAGTTTTCATGCTCCAATAAAAATAAATATTTACAAGGAAAAAAAAATTACATAGTTACAGCATAACCAGTGGGTTTTGTGATTCTCCAGCACAAGAAAGTTAAAACAAATGGAATTTTGAGGGAGAGGTCTTATATTTGATCAACTAGGCATTGCAAAACCAATAAATTCAGCCTTTAGGTGCCAACCAAATGAAAATCAGTGGTAGTGCACTGGCAAGGATGCAAGGAGTTAGTGGTGGGTGAGGAGGAGATGGGAGGGTCACACACCTCATTTTGGTCAGTGATCAGCTCCTTGTAAACCACTCAGGAAAGCCTGTGTTTGTTTGTTTCATAAAAGTGTTAAGTTTTATTGTTGTTAGATATTGTCATTTGCTGGCTGTTGTTATTTTGTGAGGCAACCATGTGTCAAAGCCTGCTCATTAGCCAGTGTTGAGCAATAAAACCCCAAAATCTCAATAAGAGAGGGGGACGGTGAGGTTGTTACTTTGCTACCTGACATCTTTTAAGTTAACACACCAGACATGTAGTCTCTGCAGTCTTAACTCTCTTCTATTTCAGTAAAGTGAAGGAAAAGGGTAAGAGAAGAGGAAAAAACCTTCACTCAGGAAAGCTCTGTCTCAAAAAATAGGAGAAAGAAAAGGAAATGCTCTTTAAGACAATTGAAATGAAATTCTCAGTTGAGAACTCGAAAAATCTTCCACTGAATGGAATCTTTAATGTTACAAACAATTTTCCTGAAGTGAAAATGTTGCACAAGAAAAATACAAACAAACAATGAAATACATTTGGTTCTGTGAATGGCTTAGATCTCTGCCAAAATGAGCAAAGTGTGAAAGCCAGTACTTGCTGGAAAAGTACATCTGTTGGTCTACCAGTGAGAATAAATTTGGAGAGAATCCTTACCCTTTGTCTTCATTTAAAAGGAAAGGAGGCTCAATAACTGTAGGCATAATGCTAGTTCAAACTGATATTCATATGGTTTGCTTTTAAAATTTTGTCTGAAATCCACAAAGATGAACAGGGTCTGTTGTGTGAGAAGAGAGAATGGAGCTAATCCCTAAATTAAGTGTACAATCATGTTCTGAGTGTTCTTTCGGCCTAAATTTAAAACAAAGCCTGCTGAATTGCTGATAATGTGCCAAATACCCAACATATCAACAGCCAATTAATTTAAATAATTTCATTTCAGCTACCACACTCTGGCCTTTTTTTCCTTTGCAGTTCCTTAGCAACACCATTTTCTTTCCCTGCAAATTGAACACTTCCATCAGCTCTAAAGGATTTTTAGAGGTACAAGGGTATTCATGACACATGATGGACAAGGAGCTCAAGCTCTGCATGGAATTCTTAATCTTTTGATCCTGAGCTGGGAAAAGCTTCCGCAAGATTTTACATGTACTTACATCTTCAGAACCAAAAGTTAAGTGATTCCTGAAATTATAAACTCCAAGATGGTAAAAGGTGTTTGGAGGTAGTGCTAATGTAGGCACAACTCACTGTGAGGTAGTTGTGGTAAGGACAGGCGTGGTTGGTAGCCTGGGGTTGGCTGCTTTTGTGTGGTAGGTAGCAGATTCCTTCAGGGCACCTCCAGCTCATATTTTTTGGCAGGGCAGTGCTGCAGTGTCTCCTGAGCCAGGATCCTGGTGCCTGTGGCAGGTTGCCCCAGTGAGCAGGGCTGAAGGATCCTTCCTGAGCTGTGCTCTCTTCTAGCACATGAAATTCATCAACTGAGAGGGGAAACAGTTAAAGGGGCAAACTGTGTTGCTGTGCAGGAGGAGCAGGGGATCCACAATCCATGATAAACTGGGATCCACAATCCATGATAAACTGAGATCCATAATCCATGATAAACTTTAGAGAAGGGCTGCAGCAAGTTCAAGTTCTCTGAATTTACTGTGCTCATCTGTCAGCAGGTTGGTGACTCCAGAGGCAGTAAGTGAAAGTTCAAACCTTGCATGGGCCAACTCTAGAAGTATTCACTAATTCTGTTAGATCTATAAAGACTTAAGTACGATTTGAATTGGAGGCTCATATTGATGCACTGAAGTGTCTGCTTGGGAATTCTTGCCTGTTGATTGCATTAAAGCACTGTGTCAGTAATTGATGGTTTTCAAAGGCTTTTGACACCCCTTGTGGATTTCCATCTCAGATATACACTGCTGTGATGTCTCAACATCTTCTATTGCTTTGGTGATCATGTACAGGCAGATTATTCTCAAGTGCCATTTATTGATTCCTATTCACACATAACAAATCCTGGTGTACAAGACACAGCTGAAAACCTATAGCTGAAACTATCTCCTTCACTGAACTTGGGAGGCACACCTGGGGAGTTCTCATTCTCTCTGAGAAGCATGTAATTAACATAAACTTGCCTTTTTAGCACATTCGATATCTGATTAATTTGTATTTACCTTGTATTTTAAGTTTCAGTGATACCATCCCAGCTTTCTCCGAATCTGTGATGGTTTGGGCAGGTAATAGCAATACTTTGTGAGTACATATTCTTCCTGTTTCCAGGGAGGAATACTGCCTGTACTTCTTTTATTTCTACAGCTGAAATTAATCTGTGTCCCTTGTAATTTAATTATGTGTGGAGACTGCTGAGCTTTTTAAATGGGTGTAGTGATGTTATATCCCTCACGATCATCAGGAGATGTTGTACAAACACTGGTTCTTGTTTCCTCTAATTCCCTCTGGCTGCTTCTGGCCCTCTGAGTTAAATTGGATGCCCCTCCTCTTTTGTGAATTTGTAGTAATCAACAAATAGAGCTATTATGTCTGTTGTACTTGGAATTCATGCATGTGTCTCTAGCATGTCAAAGTGAACTCAGTTTAATTACTTGTGGTGGGCAAAGATAAACATGCCTTCTGATCCTTGGGTTTGCAATTTGATTAATCTTTTGTTTGTCATGGTCTAGTTTGGCTCACTGGCTATTTTCCAGTATGGTATAGTATAAGGCTTTTGCTTGGTCTAATCTTGTTGTGAAATGCCTTTCTTATATAGAAAACTTGACAGTCACTGCTGTTCCATAAACCATGCTATTAGAGGAAAGTATTACAGTAGCGGCCAAGCTTGATGTTCCCCCCAGCAGAAAACAAGTTGGGCACTAGTTTCAGTGAAAAATAGTTTTCTGCATTTTTTCCATGTCTTCATCAATTCCAGTGAGGATAGAGGAGGGAATTTTATTAACCTTATTGATTCTGACTCAGAGGTGTAATTACTTTCCAGATCTTTATGGGCTATATTAGTCTGTCAGCTTTCATTTTTTGGTTTTCCTCCCTTATTCCCTCAACTTACACTTCTATTCTCTTTGTCCTTCTGTGTTCCTAGTAACTCTCACCATTTACGTTTTTGCCCTTTTTCTGCTATTACTGTTGCTGGATTCAGTAGCTGCTAAGGAACGCTCTTTTTTTAAAAGCCATCTGTGAAACCTGAGCAGAGGGTGGAGGATCC